AATAATTAGTGCATTAATTTCACTTATTTAAATGCACTTTTCTTAACAGAAGCGGCCCACAAAAATTTTGATTTTGGAAACATAGAAATTTTATTTTGAATTATTATCATCTTTTCTTTTAATGCGCTTAACAGTCGGTATTATTTAAAAATTTCTTTTATTTATAAAAAAAGTTTCAAATACGTATGCTGTAATTATAATAAAGTATCTGCACATAATTAAAACTGCTGCATCTAAGAAGGTGGTGGAGTTGGTGCTCAAACTGACTTAATTCAGATTCTACTAAGTTTCAAATGTAAATAAATTGCATCTTCGTTAGGCTTAGTACCACTTAAATTGTTACTAATTCTGCAACTATTGCATGCAGATCGACTAAATGTATAACCTTAACCAGAACATAAGAACAACATAATTCAATCACTTTTAAAGAAAAAATTGTACAATCTACCAACATACAAGACAAAAAACTGAGCTTACCCAGCCGGGTAACAGAGTGAATATACATACATACATATATATGTGTGTTACGGTGAATTTGGAGAATGTTAACTTTCCCCGATGAATGTCAACATTCACATAGTCGCTTGGTGTATGTCTGAAAGATTTTCCAAATACTCTTATTTATGACTTACACCGGTAAGAATATTATATTTTCTTCTCCGTAATTCAGTCACGAAAAAACTCACTTGAGACTTAAAATAAGAACTTAGAACATAAACTTGAAATACACAGTACATTCAAAATGAGAATGGAAAATAAGTTAAAAACTTACTAAATTATGCGATTCAAATCTTATTTATTGCAACAACTTAAACTATTATGACACTTTGAATTGCGCAAGAGGTCCTTGCTTTTACAACTGCATTTATTTGTGGAACACTTCCTTTGCAATGACAGCATGTACATATACTCCTCTCTTTTCTACCTATACCACAACATATCTGTGATTGTCGACATACACCGGTGAGGGTCCGAATGTACAAAAATGTAGAGCAATATTTGATCGTTCACCGACGTATTTAGTGAATGTTGACATTCTCCGTTGAAAGTCGACGTTCTCCAATTTCGGTCTTTCATGGTAACATATGCATAAGAAGTTTGGTGCGGCCGACTGCAACCAAAAAGGGAGGTATGCAACTACGTGTTATAAAGCAGTCTCATTTACAAAATTCCAATGTTCTTGAGGTTACGCGTTTTCGAGTTAAATGTGAGATACAAAGATATTTCCGCATTCATTTTACAATCCTTTTTGGAAAAAAAATGTCCCTTATTATTCTGTCCGTACGTAAAGATGTCAAGCAAACACATCATTCGAATGGATTCGAAAGAGGTCAAAATGGATATTTTCGTTGAAATACGATACTTGAAATTTTCGCTATTACAGTACTTCCTTTACTTCGTTATGTGTAATGTGTATACAAACCAGTTTCCCTTAGAAATTCCTCCCCTTAGGCAGGTGATAGAAAATGTTTTAATATGTGTAAGTCACCGGAAATAGCTATTTTTATTTTATACCAAAATTTAAAGAGTTAGCCATTTAAATCTTCGAGAAAGTATCAAATTTGATAAAGAAAATTGTAACCAACTTAAATTATTTCTCTTACCGAAGTGTAGTTACGTTTAAATTAATGTAAAATAACACGAACCTTTTTTGCCTAGCACGTTTTTATTCATTAGCATTTTCTGTCACTACTTTTAAGTATTACTTTAATTGACAGAGATCTGTAAAATTAATTCCAATATTTTTCTACACGTGCTTCACCCCTTTGTCCCCGAAAAATAAGTCGTTGGGAACAGAATGCCAATTGTAGACTTTTCCAAAGTATTAATTATTCTCAAGTAATAAATTTTCCTAAATTAATAATTTTATTGAAATAAGTAATTACATTAATTAAATCAAATAATTACTTTAATTTATCAACAATAAGAGTATCTAATTCCATATAAAAATGTTTTTGATAAATTGTATTTCAACGTTTCCTTTCATTCAGCTTTTGCTTAGAATCAAAATCTTATTCTTGATACTAAAATTAAGGATTCGGGTCTTATAACATGGTACTCAAAAGTATTATTTAAATTCTTTATTACTTGGACGAATACAAAAGTATTTCAAAAGCATCAGAATTTTATATTAGTAAATGAATTAGAAAATAAAAAATTTTGTAACAGAATTAGTTTTCTTTTAATTGTTTTTCATAATATTGAGAAGTGTTCAGTAATGCCTATTAATAATTTTAACAGATTCTAATTTTCATTTCATATTATCTTTCTCTAGGAATATACGACTACACACCGATCATAATTTGGAACCTGGAAGCATTTTTAAATGGCGAAATTATTTTGAGCGTTTTCTAAGGGCGGGAAAAAATAGGATTTTCGGAACAAAATATTTAAAATAAAAATTAATTTTGAGAAGGAGTGCACATTTTTTATTCAAATTCACTAGGAAAAATAACAGACGACATTAAAAATAATCTCATGTTACACTTTTATATAAAGGAACAAAGAGGATTTATATTTTTATACTGGAACAAAGCGAAAAATTTTACAAAACATAATAACTACTTAAGAAATGTGTATAAAAAGAATTGTCGTTTAGGAAAAAATCTTGAAGATTATCAATAAGGAATTTCATTAATTCAGACGTATTTAATACTAATGAATAATAACAAATGTTTAGTGATCAAGGAGAATATACTGCCTGCTAATTAAACTTCCCAAATTCTAAAATTCATTTAAAAATCAATGAGATGAAGCAACGTTTTGAAAACAATCATATTTACCATTCAATTTATGGTTTTAGTGACTATTTCAATTCTATACAGTTACTGGATAACTCATACCTACTACCAATCACACAATGCATTTCATTGACAAGGATGGATAGATTAGTTGTTTGATTACTTAAATATTGCTTACTCTTGTGGCTTACTTGTGCAAGGGAAAGGCTACCACACTGAAGATATTTTAAAGAAGACTAGCCTATATTCACATTAAACACGGGAAAAACCACAGAAACTCTATAAAGGCAGGCCGTTCAGCAGAACCTGAACACGGGATGAACAACTAATATTCAGCAGTACTTTCAATGGAATCTCTGTTCACTGAGTAGAAAACTACGGTGCCAATATCTAGATTTCAATAATCTTCCATTTGATTTTCTAAAATCCGAAACTATTTATATTGTCTTCAGACTCAAATCTAAATCGCATCTAGGGTATATAAAGAGTGAATATACTATGTAAGTGCATAGTATAAAAATACACTCTATACGTGTTAACATATACTAGTTCCTTAAACCGTAAAGAGCATTTCGATTTTTATACTAGAAAATAATCTTTCAATATTTAACGAAAAGGTAAATTAATGCCACTATTGAAATTTGATTACTTTGTAAATGCAGGAAAATCAGTTTAGAGGAAGCCATAGTAGGATTTTAAAGTGAATTAATGAAATTTAGAAAGAATAACCAATATAATAATTTTCAAATGCGATTATTTGGCAAAATCTGAAAGCATTTATTTAGATTAAGGCACCTAAACATTATGATGAATTTTCAAACAATGTCAGTATTCGGAAAGTTCTCTGAAGAATTCTCGATTTTAAATTCGTTACTAATTATAACTACATTTTATAAATTTAAGATTAATTCTTAAAATTAATTGCGCCATTATCTCTAAAATACAACTGTTATCAGTAAAATAAAAGATATTTTATCAAGTAAATTCTGGACAACTAATCAGCATCTTCAAGAATGATTGATAAAATATGATCAAATTTTATAGCAAAAACTTTTGTCACTTAGAAAATTTCTCAAATTTAAAGGAAAATTGAATCGTATTTATAATGTTTGTATTACATTTAACATTTACGTTTCCGATGGTATTCATGTATTAAATACATAAAAGGCTCAATTTTGTCATCCATTTCTTTATATGTGATAACTGATTTCGTAAGACCTGTCATCAACTGTTCAATGATGAATTACTCAGTGTATTTCATGACAATTTTATTTGAGACCGAGAAGTTTCATAGACTTTCAAGAAAGAATATTAAAACATTGAATTTTCTACGATTTCACATGGCAATAATAACACATAAAAAGTTTAATTTGTCATCAATTTCTTTATGGATGACAACTGATTTCGTAAGACCCGTCATCATCTGTTCAATGATGAATTATATTACAACTATGATTTATTTCAAGCAATTTATTGGCCGGATTTCATAGACTTTCAGAAAACTATTAAAACATTGAACTACGCTTACATGGCAATCCTACATAAAGTTAATTTTGTCATCTTTTCTTATGGTGCACTGATTTCGTATGACCCTCCATCATCTGTTCAATGATGAATTATATTACAATTATGAATTATATTAAATTTAATTATATTACAATTATGAATTATATTTCAAACATTTTATTGAGACCGAGAAGTTTCATAGACTTCAGAAGAATATTAAAACTTTAAGTTTCTCATTCCATGGCAATAATAATAAAGTTTAATTTTGTCATCTTTTCTTATGATGAAACTGATTCGTGACCCTTCATCAGCTTTTCAATGGATGATTACACTTTATGAATTATATTTCAAGACAATTTTATTTGAGACCGAGAAGTTTAATAGGATTTCAAGGAAGAATGTTAAAACTCAGAAGTTTCTACGATTTCATACGACAAGAATAAAACAACTGGCTTAAATTGACACATTTTTTTTTGCCATTTTAGTAGCACCATTCACCATTTATTTCCGAAACAGTATAAGTATTATTTGCCTAATATATGAATTTAAAATATGAAGGTATAAAATTAAATGTCGAATCAATAAATAAAATATTCTATTGCTAGAGTAAATTCCTTCATTTTTCAAAGCGATAATTCTAAGGTAAAAATTTTACAATTCTAAGGCGTTAATATTCGTACTGTAACATTCGCACGCAAATGTACTTACATAAAGAATTATAAAATATAACAACTGATTTAATAAACTACTTACAGCAGATCAGCCTGCAAGGTAGCATTTCCTAAACATCAAACCCAGATGTTAATTTTTGTTTATACAGTGAAGAAATCGTAGTTTCTAAGACAGCAGAAACCATCTGCAAATAAAAAATTATGCCTTAGATACACAAAACTTAATATGAAATATCTAATCAGTTGATGAATACCAAAACAATAGATTCTTTCAGAGTACTTGAATACACTCGAAATTATTGTATGAAGCTTATCAATATATAACGCTGGTATTTTTTTGATAAAACACCTCGCCTCAATGTCGGCCTAACAATGAAAGACTTGCCGATAACAGTTTTGTTATCGACCGTCAAATGAGAGGACCGTGTCGAGATAGCCATAGAATCTAATAAATAACCTCACATATCTATTATAAAATTCAATCGATGAGAACTAGAACAAAAGGTATTGTTAGTAAAAAGTCCCGGCTACCAAATTCCAGGCCTGTGCGGGTACGAAGTATGAGCAATTCTTATTGGTTTGGAGCTATCACGAAACTGGTCAGAGTACGGAAAGTCATTTTTATGACATGAATTACTTTCTTGGCCCTTTAGTAAGCAAGAACTTGCAATCTTCTACCTAGATGCCTTGACCAAGTTAACCGTTAGGCAATATACCCTCGGTTTCGAATACCTGAGGCTCAGTTAAGAATGGAAAGGCAGGAACGATTCCAACAGCAATTTCACAGCTCTTTTGTGGCAATCAATAAATTTCCACTTACGCAAAACTGCTACAAGACGCAGGCTAACAAAGCGGCCACGGATGCCAGGCTTACAGAGGCACTATATATATAATTAGTATATGCTGTTTACCAAGTGTTTAATACAATAATAAATGACGTCAAAGACGCCATCTGCCGAGAGTGAAAGTGTTTTTGCTCGGCACTGAACGCAGAAAAGTTATGCCAAAAATATCATTACATGATAAGAGTACGACGCAGGTGAAACAATTTTTACCCAAGGTTCTGAGCTTATACATCAAAAATTAATAACTTTTTAAGTAGTGATATGGGATATAGTCAAAGTGATATGGGAATGAATATGACGAAAATTTTAAGATTTCATAATTTTTTCTCGCTGATATAAGCAACACTCTCTATACATGAATATCCTACGAATGTATGCAACAGCGTCAAGAAGGTTTTTAAAAACGTGTTTTAAAATAAAGAATTATTAAGGTTTTCTTTTAATTTCCTGCAAAAATAATTGTAATTTTTCTAACAGCAGATAAGAAGGCATATTAAAATATTCTAACACAGTTATGAGTTTTTCATTAAAGATGAAAATACAAACACAATGATAATTCTGCTGAGTTAATTAAAATCGATGTATACGAGTACAAATTTAATTTCGATTAAATAGGCTATCTGCCGAAAAGCAAAAGTTGCCTTTATTAAGATTTGAAATTTAGTTTTGTTTGTTTAATATGGTAAAAGCACGCGAGGGTTTTCTACCTGAGAGAAGAGATAGTTTCTTAGAGCATAGATACCAAACAGTTTTCGTTATAAATATAAAGAAAAGTGGCTGGTACGTATTCTATGTTGAAGAAACCAACGAAAATGCCCATGCAGGTAACCGATTTGGAACTCAAGTTGAATTACCAGCCTTCAGTAATTTTTATCGCTCAACAACTAGTGAGCCTGTATTTTTTAAGGCCTTTCTCACTTAAATATTTACGATACACACGTGAATTACTTATGGCACACAAATGTATATGGTTTGGTTTTGGTTTATTAGAATAAGGCAAAGCACTCGAGGGCTATCTGCCTTAAGGGAGGGATGCCTTCGTGGAGGACGTTTTAAGGGAAACTGACTCGTATGCACGTTACACATGGGAAACCCACGAGAACACCCATACAGCCAGCCCGTTCGCGGGATTCGAATCTCGGACCGAACTACCAGTGTTCAGCGACGTTACCGCTCGGCCGCTGGTGGGTCCACCACATGTATATGATATATGTGGAAAATTACCGGAACACAATATCTACAACCCGAATACTGAACTTGGGATGAAGTCGTGGCATTAGCCACTCGGTCGTTTGGTTCGAAGAGTACAGAAACCGTAGAAGACATGTTTAATATTTTTACAGAATCTAATGTAGTTATAGTTCACTCATCATCGTAAAACTGTAAAGAAATGTTTTTAAGTATTCCTCCTCTCACGTAAACACTGTCATTCTTCCTCAGAAAATGTTCCGACTTTTTTTTTATTTGTGTGACATGCAATATTTTAAAAATGAGTTAAAAAGCGCGAAACTGCAACAAGATTTTACCAAAACATAAAATAAACAGACATATCACAGCAAACTGACAAATTCCCCCTTTTTTGTTTTATCCCAAAAAAGCCATTAATCTTGAAATATGATTTTGCGTTGCTTCACTTTTCTTTCGAATCTGTTGTCATTCGGAAAAACTGTTTTTCATGCATTACCTGGAAGTTCGAATTCTGAATTTTTTATTTCATATTCTGTTAAACATTCATTAAATGTTAACTCAACGACTTGTAGCTTTCAACTCAACAATTTCAAAGCGAGCAATGGCAACACAGTACGAAAAAAAATATCTTCAGCGCGCGAGACTGTATATCCGAAATTCTAAAGATATGCTGTTTTTAAACATTTAGTGACTTTTCAACTGAATGTTATGTGGCGCGAGTCCGAAGAACATATTTAATTAATGAAGTTAAGGGTACTATTCGGTTTCGAGGGCCGTAAAAAAATTGCAGCGAAAATGTACGCGCAAAAGAGTCAAATCTAGCAAACGCGCCCATTTAACAGCGCGCCAAATCTAGCGTACGCGCTGATTTCAGATTGCGTAAGTTTATATAGTTCTATACTTCTTAAGACGCCATTGAAATACTAGTTTAATTTTTAAATCCTTTTTTGACATCCTAAGGATTTAAACAAATTGGGAATTGCCCATGACGAAAACTCGGCAATAGAATTTTGGGTAAAGTGCAGAATCACCCACTCCTTGATGCGTTTTTAAGAATTGCACATACTCGGCATCCATGTGCACATCGACCTATTTTCACTTTAAAAAAAATACCAGAATTGCACAAAAATAGCACTGCGCACACCCTTGACTTTATGTACACATCGACCTATTTTCACTTAAAAAGTAAAAGAAAATTGACAAAAATCCACTTGTTTTTACACTTGTAAAAAGCGGCAAACAAATAAGTGAGCGATTCTGCACTTACCGAGAATATTTTCAAAAAGGCATCATTCTTTAAGAAAATTACGTTTGAAACAACCAACGAGATGATTATGCTTTAGCGATAAGCCGGAGCGAAATAGCGATGCAGCATCCATTCAGTTACGTTTAGCAATTTTTAGATAAATTATAATAATGATCTGAAATAGTTATTTACTCTATGCTTCCATTCAGTCATGTTTAGCCTTTTCATATAAATTATAATAATAAAAAAGTATTATGAAATTAACCTTTTCATCTAAATTAAAACAGCACTTAAATAGTTATTTACTATTATACTTCCTTTCTTGCCGCAGTTATTTTTGGCAGCACTGGCATCAACGATAGTTTGGCGATTTTTTACGGTCCTCGAAACCGAATAGTTATCAAGTTAAGAAAGTAAACGTTAGCAATAAGCAGGAAAAAAAAGTTTTGTAAAGACGTTTTAGTAAGAAAACTGAACATTGATATGATGAACTGAGAAAAGACAAAAAAAAAAAAAAAAGTTATGCGAACACTTAACACTGAACCGGGGGTTCTAAACGTATACTACTATACTGCCTTAAATTTTTTTCTAATTTTGCTGTTGAATTGTATATGGCGTAAGTGAAAAGAAAATGCTTATAACGAAGCCGAAAAAAAGGGAGCGTTTGCAGCAGCAGATTAGTAGAATACGCGCTCAGCGAAAGCGTAAAAAATACTTAACAAACCCTTTTGGACGATCTTCTAAATCAGAGTCCTTTCAGATTTTTATCTTATTTTATTTTTAACCCAAAGCGTTAGCTCCGAAGGGCTATTAGTCTGGAAACGGGATTTTGCGTTTAATCACTGTAAACGGCCGAATCACTTTTCAAATTGTTGCCACCAAATACTACCGCCCTGTATTATTTTAAAAGAAATTAAATAAAGGAGAATGTGCATGAATGTAGGTATGTTTCTCTTATTGTGAAAAAACGAAGGCACCTAGAACCATCAAATTTTGAACAACGTAAACACTTCCACCCGAAGATGGACACCTGGATGTCTGAATTCTGTGTTTGTTTTATTACCTATTTCACATTTTGTAAAACATTAAAAAATTTTTGATTGACAATATAAGCGATTTCAAAGCAAGCAGTGGCAACACTATACGAAGAAAAAACATTATCTCTAGCGCGCGAGACTATCTGTCGGAAATTTTAAAGATAAGATGTTTTAAAATATTTTTAGCCTAAGGGACATTAGCCCAAATGCTCTCGGGTCGTGTATGTGCGTAAATGGGGGAGGAACGCCATTCAGGTGCAACATAAAATCAAAATCTTTCGTCCTCCCCTCAAATTATCCAAAAATTGAACAACAGAATACCAGATTAAACGTTACATCTTCTCGTAAGACTTCTAAACCCTTAAAAATCTTTCCATTTTGATACAGATGTGCACTTCAATAACGTAAAATTCAATTCAACAGCAAAGTAATTAGATATTTAAAAACAGCCCATCTTTAGAACTTTCGATTGACAGTCTCGCGCACCGGAGACAAAAATGTTTTATTCACTGCAGTGTTGCCACTGCTCGCTTTGAAATTGTTGAGTTTTTAATCAAAAATTCTTTAGAGTTTTATAAAAATATGAAACATACAACAAAACAAATTCCAAATTCGGGCTGTCAAGTACTCATGTTTGGGTGGAGAACTATGTTATTCAAATTTGATGACTCTAAGTGCTGTTTTTTCGACCAATGGGAGGACACATACATTCATGTAGATTCGTCATTAACTAGTTTCTTTAAATACAATACAGAGCGATAATGTTTCGTGGGAACAATTTGAAAAGTGATACAGCCGTTTATATCGAGTCAAGGCAAAACTCTGTTTTGAGACTAAAGCCCATCTAAATAAGTGTTATTTAAATTTGGAAGCATTATTTATAATTTATTACTTCTGCTGGCACTATTTCATAAATCATTTTAATGCGCAAAGCTAATAAATGACCTTAATGTTGTTATCTTGGCCATATTAGGTGGAATAAA